TCGCACATAATGCCCTTGGTCTTGGTGCCCTTTACCCCACACTTCATCAAGGATTTGCTCATGGGTGAGGACACGCTGAGAATTGCGAATTAGTACTGTGAGTAAGCGATATTCAATGGGCGTTAAATGCACAACTTCACCATTTTTACTCACCTCACGTTGACTAGTATCAATACAAATATCACCCATTTGAACGATAGCATCATTGTCTTGGTTATTCTGGTAACGACGCAGCAACGCATTCACCCGCGCTAACAACTCCCCCATACTAAAGGGCTTTGTTAGATAATCATCCGCTCCGTAATTAAGCGCTTGTATCTTATCTTGCTCATTACTACGTGCGGATAAGACGATAATGGGCAGTTTTGACCAAGTACGGATATCATTGATAATCTCAAGTCCATCACTGTCTGGCAAGCCTAAATCAAGAATAATTAAATCAGGGCGACGTGTTGCCGCTTCGATAAGGCCTCGTTGCCCAGTTTCTGCGGTATAAACGACCCATGCTTCGTCTTCTAATACTTTTTTAATAAAACGGGCAATATGGGGCTCATCTTCAATGATTAAAATCGTTTTCATAGGTTCGTTATCTAGGTCGGTAAATTCTCATAATCTGAGGGTGAATTAATCGAAATATGCGATTGATTATGTAATTGGCTAGCAAACTGTCGTTGTTCGATTTGGCTAGGTTGAGGTAGTTCTATGGTAAAACATGCCCCATGCGGTACCACATTGGTGACGCTCAGCGTGCCCCCCAAACTTTTTACCAGTTCACGACTTAAGGCTAAACCCAGCCCTAAACCGGTTACTGTGCTTTCTGGATTACCACGAGTAAAGCGTTCAAAAATCTTAGCTTGCATCTCAATGGGTACACCATCACCGGCATCAATAACATTAATTTTAAAATGATTTTGGCTGTCTGATAGTGCTTGAATATGAATGGGTGACCCTAACGGTGAGTAATTAATGGCATTGGTGAGTAAATTATTAAGAATTCTTGCCAATAATAATTCATCGGTATAGATAAATTGTAGGGCGTCTGGAATATCCACAATGATATCTCGAGTGCCAAGAGCAAACTCTAATTGAGTTAATATTCCACCAATCAATTCTTCAAGGCTAATCCATTGTTTATTAACGCTTATACCGCCTGATTGCAGTGACGCATAATCTAAAATATTGACCACCAAACGTCCAATGGCCCTACTTTGCTGTTGGATATCTAATGCTAGTTGATGCTGTTCTTGCTCAGTTTGTGTTAGTTGCAATAAACTTTCAGCGAGCGTGGATAATACCGCAAGCGGTGTGCGAATATCATGGGACAATGCCGATAACAGCGTTCCTCGCAGCTGCTCTGATTTTACTTGAATCACCGCTTCTTGAGCAACTTTTGCCAAATAAATTCGCTCCAATGCCAAAGCAATTTGGGCAACTGCCACATCTAAAAAACGCTGTTGTTCAGGCTGATTAAAATAACTGGTATCTTTGGGCAAGACGGCAATTACCCCTAATACTTGCCCTGAAGCTGCCAGTGGACGGTATTGCATTTTGTTCGCCGTAAGCGTGTTGGTGCCAAATCCTGCAAGCTGATTATGGTCATATACCCACTGCGTCACTGCCCAATCAAATTCTGACGGTACGGCGGTATCACTCACCAAGTTTAACCGACCTTGATTGTTGGGCGTGACAACTAATGCATAACTGGCTAAATGTTGTAATAACCACAGCGTCGCATGGTCAGCAATCTGTTCAGTTTTACGTGCCGCACTTAAGCCTTGGCTTAATTCACTTATCGATTTGGCTTGGAGCTCACGACGACGAGCGGATTGGGCTTGAAACCGTAACCCAACCGCTAAGTTATTAATTAATAAGGAGACGACAATCAACACCCCAAAGGTCAATAGATATTGTACATCGCTTACAGAAAAAGAAAATTTTGGCTCAACAAAGAAAAAATCAAAGCTTAATACGCTAACAATAACCGCAAAAATCCCAGGAAAACGACCGAAACGTACCGAAACAAACACGATTATCAGTAAGTACAGCATTAAAACATTAGCTAAATCCAGCCATTGGGTGAGTTTAGCAAGTGAGGCAGTGACCAACGTACAACCCACGGTTGCGACCAGATAGGCCCTTACGTTATGGTTTGCCCATAACTCTTGATAGTTCGGCGCTTTGCTAATAAGAGAAGCTGATGTATTCGGGGTGGTGTCAGCCACTTGATTAACTATGATTAAGTCAAGCTTGGTGTCTTGTTTACCGATTTGCTCGATCAAAGAATTTCGCCAACACCCCAATTTGGGTCGTTGTTGTCCAATGATAATGCGTCCAATATTAAACTGATGGGCATAGCTCGTCAGTCCTTCAGCAACACTATTGGCGGTAATAATCTGGGTCGTTGCCCCCATGTATTCCGCCAAACGTAGGGCATCTAAGATTTTTTGCTTATTTTTGGAAAGGTTAGATGGGGTTTCCACATGGGTCACATACCATTTGGTATGCAAGCTACCCGCAAGTCTAGCAGCATGGCGAATCAGGCGTTCATTATTACCAGTACTACTTAAGCCGACTAATAGTTGGTCTGTGGTGTTCCATATTGGTGAAATCCGTGCCTGTTTACGATAATTACGCATATCGGTATCAACACGGTCAGCAGTACGACGCAGTGCCAATTCACGTAAGGCTATCAGATTGCCTTTGCGAAAAAAATTTTTTACTGCATTTTTGGCTTGATTGGGCAAATATACCTTGCCTTCCTCTAACCGTGTTAATAGTTCATCGGCAGGCAAATCGACCAACACCACTTCATTGGCAGCATCAAAAAACCAATCCGGTAGTGTCTCTCGCACCGCTATGCCGGTGATTTGATTGACCACATCATTAACACTTTCTAAATGCTGTACATTTAAAGTAGTATAAACATTGATGCCTGCATTGATTAGCTCTTCCACATCTTGCCATCGCTTAGGATGACGGGAAGTCGGCACATTGCTATGGGCCAGTTCATCAACCAACAGAATATCTGGGTGAATCGCTAAAGCGGCATCGATATCAAATTCTTTAAGGGTTTGTCCTCGATAGTCAATTTGCTTGAGTGGTAAAATCGTTAAGCCTTCGAGCAATGCAGCGGTTTCGCTACGTCCATGCGTTTCCACAATGCCGACAAGTACGTTAAAGCCCTGAACTTGGGCTTGTCGTGCTGCCATCAGCATATCGTAAGTTTTACCCACACCTGCTGATGAGCCAAAGAAAATCTTGAGCTTGCCTCGGGTCGTGGTCAACGTCTCTGCCTCAATTTGATTGAGTAGCTCATCAGGGTTGGGGCGGTTATCAGTCATGCCTTGCTCTTATGTTTACTTTATTGTTTTGAATTAGCCAGTTTATCTAAAGCCACGTTAACTGCCAACACATTCACCACTGGCTCACCTAAAACGCCAAATTGCGGGGCTTGGGTATTATCACGTTTTTAACCGTATCTACGCTAATGCCTCGTTGTTTGGCAATTGGCAACACTTGCCATTCAGCAGCTGCAGGAACCGTATCTACGCTAATGCCTCGTTGTTTGGCAATACGACCCACTTGCCATTCAGCAGCTGCAGGTGAGATATGGGGGTCAAGACCACTGGCAGAGGCAGTCACCAAATCAAGCGGGATTGGGACGGTATTGGTGAGGTCGCTTGCTTTTAATTTGCTAACGGCTGCTTGCACATTTTTCGCCAGCTCAGGGTTTAGAGGACCTAAGTTACTGCCCGTTGAAGCTTTAGCATCGTATTTCGCCGCTGACGGGCGTCCCCACAGATATTTAGGGTCATCAAAGTTTTGCCCAATTAGGCGTGAGCCAATCGTTTTACCTTGGCTATCTTTATATAGACTACCATTGGCTTGCATTGGCATCATCAGTTGCGAGACGGCGGTCATCCCCAGCGGATACAGCACCCCTAGAATCATGCTTAAGATGATAAACAATAGCAATGCCGGTTTTAGCATGGCAAATTGAATGGCGGATTGGTTGTTATTATCGGTATAGATTGTCGTATTCATCGTATTTTCCCTCAGGCTATGCTAAATGCAAGGTGTTTAAAATCACATCAATCACTTTAATCCCAATAAATGGCAGTATTAATCCACCTAAGCCGTAAATTAACAGGTTGGTGCGTAGTAACGTCGCTGCTTTGGCAGCACGGTATTTCACGCCTTTTAACGCCAGTGGAATCAACGCAATGATGATTAACGCATTAAAGATGACGGCAGATAAAATGGCACTGGTTGGGCTACCTAAATGCATGATATCTAACACTTTTAACGCAGGGTAAGTGCTGGCAAAGGCAGCAGGAATAATGGCAAAATATTTTGCCACGTCGTTGGCAAGGCTAAAAGTCGTTAAAGCACCACGGGTCATTAGCATCTGTTTGCCTGTTTGCACCACTTCAATGAGTTTGGTGGGGTTGGAATCTAAGTCCACCATATTCGCCGCTTCTTTTGCCGCTTGGGTACCACTGTTCATGGCAACAGCCACATCGGCTTTTGCCAAGGTAGGGG